GAGCTGCAACTGCCAGGCGACTTGCTCGTGGCGTCACAAGATACAACCAAGGGTTCACATGCATATACCGGTGTAACATGTTAGGTAGAGTGATTTGTTTGCTGGCCTGCCGAGGGCATAAGTGGAGAATGTCGGCAACCGAGGTTGGTGCACGTCTTTCACCAGTCGCTGATCGCTGATCGCTCGCAGTTCTGTGATTGTCTTATGAGCGGAAAGACTGATACGAGTCTGTCTCGGATGAGCCGCATCAACTGGGATCCGCCTGCTTGCGGAAGTCTTGATAGGTGTGCCGGACAAATCCTAACACAGAGAAAGAAGCCATCCACTCTGAAACCACGGTAGCTTCTTCCCCTGCATAATTCCGAGAAATCCACTCAGAAGAACTGACAGAGCCAGTGCTAGATAGGGGCAGACGAGCGAGAGTATAGGTAGGTTTGACTGAGAGATTCGGGGATTCTAGGGTATCGACAGCGCCAGTGGCTTTCGACTTCCGAGACATTCTGAATTTGGTATGTATCAACGGTACACTAACTGCCGATAAAATTGTGACAGTCACCGATGTAAGAGGTGATTAGAGAAGACGCCTGTCATCCGAAGCCGAGTCGGTTCACGAAGCAAACACGACAGAAGTGTGGTGGCGTTGCAGAGATGAAATCGGCGTAGTGAGACGGCACAGACCCTCGTGGCATACCCCAAGGGCGGGATAGGAGTTACACCAGCCAGGTCCCAGCACAAACTTGAAGGAATTTTGATTTGGATTGTTGTGGGTAAGCTCAGTCGTCAGATAGTATGATACTCGCACCCTATCAATGATGACAAGGTAACTGGCATTTTGTTAGTGGGTATCCGTGGGGTAACCGAATCCCGCGGTAGTCCAGCTTCACAAGAGCGCGTCGTGTTGACTTAATCGCTACACCAATCCCATCTCTCTTAAAGAGACGCTTGGCAACCGTTGCTGTTCGATGGTCCGTCACGTTTTCGTCGCTTAAGGCTTGTTTTTGGTCGTCAAACATTGAAAGCATATCTCTGTGATAGTCACTCTTTGGCTCGCGTTGATGGGTGTTGATTGATGGAGGGAATCTGCATGCCAATCAGCGTGGGCTCTTTCGTCTCCCGTGCTGTGCAAGCACTCTCTAGTCAGATATATACAACTTGTAAAAGCGAACGCTAGTGTTGAGGCAGTAAACAAACACTACTCGATTGAGGGATTGAGGATTGCCACTTTATTGGTTTCACCATGTTGTCGTACAGCGGGAACGAACGAGACTTGGCCTAGGGTGCAAATCAACCCAAGCGGGCTGGGAGAACACTCACGGATACGGAATCCCGCGAACAGAGCGAGGGTTTTGCCGGCAGCAACCACAGAGCTGGAATCCCCGCCAATAGTTGGACAATGTCGGATGTCGAAGTCGTGCAACAAGATCTGGCGAGAAACAGTGATTCACGGCGTGGGTTTATCAAATTCAAATTCTTTCTGATTTGCAGATTTAAGCCACTTATAAATGCGTTTAGCCCTTGAAAAAGAGAATCATTTACAAAGAATGGTGCCATGGTTTTCTGAGTCATCGCTGGCTTCATTCAAATACTTGAGTCGTTTGTACTAGGAATAGATACCTCGCCTGGGTATTCGAAACAGGTTTTGGGTAATAGAAGGAGGCCTGTACTGGCGTATATAGAGTGTCTTACTGAGGGCTTGGTGCGATGGCTTCTCTCTGGCGGCGGGACATCAGAGCTAGACAACAGTACAAACCATGTGTACATGTAGTGAGACAGCCTAATGAGGGTGAGCTAACCTCAAAATGATTGAACTATTGTGTCAAAAAGTTCCTCGGCCGACACTTACAAAGAACGAACTTCGTGTACAACATCAAAGAGCCCTCCTCCCTCCGGCCTAGTAAGTGATCCCAACTCAAGACCGTCTCGCACGTATCTCCCCTCTCTCACTCACTTATGCCGCCTTCCGTCTTAAATCCACCTGTTGAAGTTCAAGATAGCACAGCCAGTCGATGATGTTCCGCTCGTCTCTACATACTGTCTAGTAGGATGGGTTCCGTCGGATCCACATGCGTGTGTCTTCTTTCTGCTCGTCATGGGTGCGGAAGTTAGAAGACGGGCATTTCAATCAATGGTCAAGCACAGATTCTATCTCGAGTGGTTGGAATTGTACTCCAATCAACGCCCATATTGTTTAGATCCCGTCAATCGTCAAAATCTCAGGCTTTATAGCAAGCTAGCCTACGACTAAGAAAATTCATTGAGTAAGAATAACTTAGGGGGTATATCAGCCCGTTATTACGACAACTTCTTTCGTGTACCACTATATGAGCCAACGCTTAGGCTCAAACAACTACCCAAGCACGAACTATCATCAGCTGCTGCATTATTCTACCAGAGGCTTACCAGAGTATCGTGGAAGACCGCGGAAATGTCTCGGAGAGTTACTTTCTTTCCATTCGGTTAGAGCATCCATTGCCCCCTGCTTCCGATCTCATGACCCAGGTCCACGGCAAGGGCATTGCCAGGTTCGGATGTCATGTATGGCTGACACGTTTTAGAGGCTACATAAGATGTCCATGTTCTTTCTCTTCCAGATTGCTGTCCTCTCATCGGCTAAGAGAAAACAGTTCAAGAAATCGGTACTCTTCTAATAGCCCATCTTCCCTGGCTTGTGTGACCCTCCTCAATCTTGAGTATCTGTGCCCGGCGCAACTCCCACCTCTACAGCACCGGCCATCTGCCATCAACATGTTCGACGCTCAACCCTCAGTGGCGCCGTCTTTATTGACGATTCCAACGTTCCTTCAATCGAGGGCTTCTACTCTGGCACCAAGCGACTCGAGCTACGATGATATTATGGAAAAAGGATTGACCATCTCGAGCTCCACCCCATCTCTGCAGAACATCCATACCCATATCACTTCACTGAGGTCAAAATCAGGCACGGCATTACCTGCGCAAACCTCTATCACAAGATCGAGAAAGACATTGACTGTGGAGGACGCGAGACACGCGGAATATCCAGGAGGAATGAAGCTGGCATTGATTGTAGCTGCAGCCTGTTTCAGTGTTTTCCTGATGGCCCTTGGTAAGTAAACCCTCCCACAAACGCCCTGACCTCGCTTAACATATTCCTACTCCAGACAACTGTATTATAGCAACAGCCATTCCCCGGATCACGGACGAGTTTAATAGTCTCAACGATGTCGGCTGGTACGGTAGTGCCTGCCTACTTACCACTGCGTCGGTTCAACTGCTCTTTGGTAAACTATACAGCTTTTATAGTATCAAGCGGATCTACCTCGGCACCATCGGTGTCTTCGAAATAGGCAGTCTGGTTTGTGGGATTGCGCCCAATAGTATTACCCTCATCCTTGGCCGTGCTGTCGTGGGACTTGGTTCGGCAGGTATCTATGCTGGAGCTCTCATCATCCTCGCCCATAGCGTTCCGCTTGAGAAACGGCCCATCTATACTGGTGTTGTCAGCAGCATGTGGGGAATTTCTTCCGTCGTTGGCCCGCTGCTTGGTGGTTTCTTCACTGACAACTTAACTTGGCGGTGGTGCTTCTACATCAATCTCCCTGTTGTAAGTCACGAATTCGAAGCCCTATTGTTCAAATTGTTCAACTGACTTTGCCATAGGGAGCAGCAACGGTCCTCGTCATCATACTATTCTTCCCGGATCCCGTACGCATTATCCCTCGTGAGACTTGGCGTACTCGTCTCGCCCAAATGGACCCTCTCGGCAACCTCCTCTTTATGCCGTCAGTTGTATGCCTTCTTTTGGCTCTTCATTGGGGTGGCATTGTGTGCCCCTGGTCCTCGGCTCGTATCATTTCTTTGCTCCTAGCATTCTGTATGGGGATGCTAGCGTTTCTGTATCTGCAATACCATGGCCAGGAGAACGCCACGATACCACCCCGTATCTTCAAGAAGCGCACTGTCTGGTCTTCCTCACTCTTCTCTTTCAACTTGGGGGCTGCATTTCTGTTATCAGTTTATTACCTGCCCATCTGGTTTCAGTCCGTCCAGGGCGTCTCCGCCGTCAATTCGGGTGTCAGAAATCTACCTATGCTAGTCGGCAACCTCATCTTCTCCCTTGTTGCCGGCTCTGCTGTTACACACTGGGGGTACTATACACCCTTCATGCTACTGAGTTCTGTCTTCATGAGTATCGGTTACGGACTCATAACCACATTCAGCCCCGAAACGCCATCTGTAATGTGGATCGGCTACCAGATTATTGCCGGTGTCGGAGTGGGAGTCGGCATGCAGCAACCCCTCATCGCGGTTCAAGTTGTGCTAGACATGGCGGATGTCGCAACGGGAACGGCCATCGTTATCTTCGCTCAGCAGATCGGCGGTGCCATTTTCATCGCCATTGGGCAGACGGTATTCACCAATAAGCTGGTCGAGCGTCTGCCACTGCACGTTCCCACCCTTGACCCGCACTCGGTCGTTGCTACTGGTGTCACCGCTATCCGCAAGACAGTGGATGCGGAGCTTCTTCCCGCCATTGCACATGCCTACAGCGACGCGTTGGTACAAACTTTCCTTGTCAGCACCGTGGCAGCTACTGCTACTATTGTGGGTGCGGGGTTTGTTGAGTGGAAGAGCGTCAAAGGAAAGACTGTTCAGGTGAGCATGGGGTAAAGTTGACTTCGTCCAATTTGAGCTTTTAGATTAGGTGTCTAGTTCTATGAAAGAATCCGTAATCTATCTGCTCCTATTACTCGGCGGGTCATTCCGGCCTCTGCAGTACCGAGCTTTGTGCTTATGGGACTTGGCTTATGGATCGGGAGGCGTTTGAGTTTCGCCGAGTTGGCAATTGTTTGCTTCAGCATACGAGGGCTCTCGTACCCCTCAAAGCTCCTCCAATCGGATGAAGATATGTCATATTCACCCATGCCCTTTCGGTATTTCTCAATTTCATGTCGTAAAAGCACTTTAATAACGGAGCCTCATCCTGATCTGCAGCCATTAACGAAGTGCGTTGTATTTGATCAATTTCCCTCCGCAACCCGAATGACCATCTTTTTTGCGCGGACGCTTCCATTCTCCAACCCCTTCAGAGCGCGCTCAACGCCCTGCAAGCCCTCTACCACTTCGAATGGATGCGCCTTCATCCATCCCGTCCTCAATCCATCTGCGAACGCCCTCGCCCAAATGAGCCCAAACAATTGTCCCTCTCCCTCCTCCTCGTGTACGCGTCCAACACTCGTGAGAACAATCTCGACGCTCTTATCAACTGTGGTGTAGTCCTTACTGGGCAACACCGTTGTAATTTTGGGCTTGAAGCCCGTACCCTCCTCGGGCGGCCCCGCGATCGCCTTGCTGAGCATCTCAAATGACCCGTTCTCGCTGACAGTGTCGAAGACTCGAAAGCAAGGCTGCCCAGTCTCCTTGATGACCTCCCTCAGCTTCTCCGCCAACTTATCCTGAGATTCGAACTGAGTATAATCCAAGAACACGTCTCCCTTCTCTTTCTCTAACAGGGGCGTGACAAACGCGCTGTTCTTGCTGCCCACGGCGATAAGCGGATACACGCCCGCTTTTTTGGCCAGCTTCACGCCAAACGCGCCGATCGCCGTGCTCACACCATAAATGATGAGTGGTGTCTTCTTTGCCCTCGTCCGATCCCATGGCGAAGGCACTTCGAGCGAATGGAATAGTGCCGTGGCAGCCGTGTACGCTGCCAGCGGCACCGTTGCCGCTTCCTCGAAGCTCACGTTCTTGGGGATGTGGAACGCCGAGAAGGCAGGGACGATGGCATACTCGGCGAAACTGCCATGCTCGGAACGCATGACGTGGAAGCCCGCCACGCGATCTCCTTTCGCGAACTCGTAGACTTCAGAGCCGACGGTCTCAACTACCCCAGCAACGTCGTCGCCACTGTTCGCGGCCACGTTGAGCCATCGGGGAACCTTCCAATCCTTGGGGTTGGTGCCAGAGACAACAACCTTGATGAGGAGCTCGCCAGGCCCCGGGGTGGGGATGGGAGAATCCTTGACCGTAACTGAGATATCAGCGTTGACGATTGCTTCTTTCATTTTGGGCGACGTAAGCGTGTGTGTGTGGTTCGAGTTGCAAAAATATCTTGTGGTTCAATGGCCGGGTAGGTTCTGATCAATAGGCTTCTCATGGGCATTTATATACTAAACTCGAAAGCTAGTCTAGGTACGGAGTACCTGCCGTTGCTTGAGATCTTCTCCTCTTCATATTTCTAAGCGTCGCGCCTGATTTGCTGCTTCCTGGAAAGAGGGTTCGTTCGGTTCTTCGCCATGGACAAGTGATGGCTCTAGCATCATCTAGCCCTGTTCTGATATGGTACCCCCGCCAATCACATCATCACTTGCCTCGGAATGACGGGAAGAAACACACGTCCGGGCGGATGCTTCAACATCTGCCCCGCCTTTCGCCTCCCGGGGCCCCCACCTCGGCGATGGCTATAATGATCGCACCATAACATCAGATGAGGGGCGACGGGGTTGTTTGGAGCTTACAAATCCAATTCGATGGTGTCACACTGACCCGAGCAAGTCTAGTAAAGTCCGCTGCTCTGATGGCTGGTGTTAACAGCAAGTCGCTGGACATTTGAACATAATAAACCGCATGCACGGCACCAATCAGGAGTTGAGTATGAGTATCTCTTTCGATGCCAGGTATCGCCGCAACTATCAGCGATAGCGGGGGTTACCTTCGACAACCCACCGCCATGGCCTACCCACCTAACGGTTATCACACCACTTTTCACCCAGGCGGTTCACGATAGTTGCTTTTTCTCCTTCATGCATCATTAAACCAGTGCCCCTATTATTTGTCACCCATATTCAGCCTAGGCCATGACAGGTGATTTCGACACATACTCTTCACCTGTAGCCTGTGTCCCTATTCAGGCAGGTCCTTCTGATACAGCGAGTACCTAACTTGTCAACTTCAACCTCGCCCTCCCCCTTTTCCTTTTCTTTGTTTAAAGAAAAAGCTACGTAATCAAGACCTTAGCTAAATTTCTACTTGTGTTGTGTCTTGAAATAGCATAAAGTGGTATTTCTATTACTTCAAGTGTGACTATATCTATCATCGTGAATGACACGAAATAACAACAGGAGCAACTTTAATATTGAAGAAGACCTCTTGAAGCTTTTGTCACTGCCTTCCTTCAAGACACCCTTGAAGAGCCCTTTATTACTTGCTAGCCCTAGCTCCATGCTCCGTGAAACCCCTAGTCAACCCCAAGCCCCCTCCCCACTGCACCTCAAATATCACCCGAGAAGACACAAAGAAGCCGCATCAAGATGATAATATAAATGAATGTATCACACATTAACTATGCAATTGCGTTTTACCAGTAAATCCTTAACTGACAAGCGGCGTGAAGTTTCAGCTACCTGGGCCTCGCTTGGTAAAAAGTACACCCTCTTGTTTCTCAGTGTTCGTCACATTTGCGCCAAACAATACTGACTGAAGCTCTCGTTTTTGAGTAAGAGGTATTAGACTGTGGCAATTTTTAATGGGTACCTATCGATGATTAGCTGTATTTCAGACTCTGGTAGCAGCAATGTCGGCTTGCCTGTTGTATGATCGGGAACATTGTGTGCAGCATCATGAAGTGCAAGTGGGAATCCCAGAGCAGACTGTTTGGCCGCACTGTTCTTTGAGATCAAGATAACTTGGACCGGCAAAGCTAAATGGCAAACTCAACCCGCCGGAGAGGGAGAAGGCATGCTCCCTGCCGTTCGTCACCGAGAACTTGCACAGATTACATTGTTTGGCCAGTTCAGGCGCCGTTTTAGCCATCACATCGAGGGGCCGAGGGCACCGGAATGGGATACGCGATAACAGACAGCGAAGACCTATCTACGGAGGTTATGCCAGAATCAGGAGAGATATTGCTAGCCAAACGGTGTTGGGCTGGGGAAGTGCTGTTCTCATTGGCGGGGTTCAGGGGGGACCAAGATGGCTCTGGAATTTGGGTCCTGAGAGTTCTGCGCTTGGAGGCATGTTGCTCGAAAGTGCACTCTGCCACATAATCGGGGTTGGCCGGGCAATGTCATATCTCTCAATAATCTCTGACAAACCCGTTTCGTCAGCTAATCTGTAGGAGTATATCGCTGGTTCCTCTCTGAACCCATCAAGTAGTATATGATCGTTAGCGGGTAATAAGAGAACGTCCCAGTTCTTGTAGAGCATGTCTGATACTCGGTGAGGCCATGAAGGCCGATGGGGAGACGAACGCTGAGTAGCCCCGAGCCGCGAACAGTGCTGGCTGGTCCGCTCCGAGTACGATGTGTGATTGTTGGAGTTTGCAGCGTTTGGGTAATTTTTCTTTTCGTCTGCTTTGTTTCGCTTGCCTGACATGGAGCTACGTTGGGTGGACGTGGGTAAATTCTCTCGGGTCAACATGAATATTGTTGAGGGAGCGATGCGCCATTGAAGAGCCGCCTTCTTCTGCATGGTAGATGACTAGATAATTGATGGGTGGGTAGGTAGAGTAAGAACAAGCAGGCCGGCGCATACTATGGGACGACAGGGTAGAGGATCAAGAGGGTGTGATGGGAAGTAAAGGATGACGGTTCAGCGGAAGCGGGACTTGCCTTTCCATTTTGACTAGTATAACATTACCGGCTCGGGCTTGAGAGGGCATATCCGTGTTACGAGCCTACATGTGTCTTTTGGAAGGGCCCGGCCTGCTTACCTAAAGGACTTCAGGAGACGAGAGACACATCGCCAACAGGCAACAAACGACAGGAAAGTGACAGTAACTGCACTGCCAGGAAATACCACAGGATCAACATATGGCACTTGCCTCTTGCAGGCTCACCCCTACTGCCCAATTGTCAACTGTACGGAAGACAGCCGTTCATCATCAATGGTTGAGAACATATGAATTTCGTTGCTGGGATCAGTCCGCCCAAAGGATTGCATCTTCTGCTCTAAAATGTACACGTGCTTTCCCGGGCTGCAAATCTGTCTGAACCCGGTTGTTTCATGGGTCGGCATCGCCAGCCTTTCTCGCCTATCATCCTGTTAGTCTTGCCTACTTTCCTCAGCACATTGGGTCCAATCCGATGCTTACTCGCACAGCGCTGGCACCTCCCAGCTCTCTCTCAAGCCCATCAGGAAATTCTCTGGGGTATGAGGGCTTGTCGGGGTAGCTGGCGGCAACGACACCGCAGACGCCGAGGAAAGCCACGATAAAAGCTCCAATCTGGAGCAGGCCCTTGCCGGTGGTGGTCCAGGTGTACTCGTAGGGCGAGAACATACCCAGCAGGTCGTGATCCTCGTGGACGGGCTCGCCAAAGTTGCGGCGTTCCTGCTTGTCCCACCAGTTGGCATGGGGGTCACGGAATTGTCTCTTGATGAAGGGAGGGTTGATGTAGCCGCCGTTCTGCGCGTCACAAGGTTAGCCATGGCATCCGGACGTCTCTTCACCAACTGCGGCGTCACTGACCATGCCGGGGTCCTCTGCGTCGGAGAGAGTCGGGTAGTCGGGGTACTTCTCCTCAAGGACCTTGCGGTCGTTCATCTGAGGCGGGAAGAAGGTTCGCTGCTGGACAATGGGAGTTCGTCGGGCGGCCTGGGCAGCGCCGCGGATCGTCGAGATCCGGGCAAATCGTTGGGACAGCATCTGCGTGGGCGAGTAGGTCAGCTTGTGATTCCTCCCAAGGCCAATTGAGTGTGAGGGTGAAGGTACCGTGGCCGAATTGGTGGGTTCCGATGCAGCCCAATTTGCTTAATCGTGAATGTGATGTCGTCGCAAGTCAGAATAGTGCCGAAGCTGCACTCGGTCGACGATTGCTAGCCAAATCCCTCGGCTCTGGTTGGTTGGTGAGGGCTGTTTCCAGGCCTGAGGCAGCAAGGCATGAGTATCCTACATCAGTCGCGTGAACAGGTACTACCGGTAGGTAATGAGTGGGTCATCGAAAAGGTCCCTGACACCTGATTCGGTGCACCTGAGTGACTACCGACCGATTCCAGGGACACAGATTGCGCATTCCAGCTGCGTTAGGTAGGTAGGTATGGCTCCATCAAAAGGTACCTACCTAGGTCACAGCTCTGAATGAGCCTGAGCAGTCGTGGCACCTCCACCACCGCCCGTGTTCTCTTTTCGGCTAGCCCAGGCAAGGCCGAAGCTGCATCTTTGCAAAAAAATCTATCCTCAAACTTTTGCTGATGACGCTGGTTTTGCACCCCTTTTCCTTCGCAGCCGGCCACCCAGACGTGTCATCATGGTCAAACTTCAAACTAGAATTCATTGAGCATTGAAGATTCCGTAGACGTTGATTTGGATGCTTCAGATGCCTTGTTCGTTGAGATCACGTCCCCATCTTGCGTCCGCCCCCCGTTGCTATTATGAACAAGACCGCGTCTCTCGAGCCCGCGCATACAACTTCCGAGGCCATCGACTCCCAACGCGATGAACAAACCGCGCTCCCCGCTCAATATGATACCGACCCGCCCTCATCGCCGCTTGAATCCCTCGGATCCGACGAGTTCAGGGATCAACTAACGCCCAACGGCAACGACTTCATCGGCTTTGGCCTGCGCTCTCCGACACCACCACCACCACCACCACGATCATCCTCCTCGTCCCCATCACCCCCGCCTCCCGACTCTGCCAACGAAGATGAAGATGGACGTCCCTCGAAACGTCGTCGCGTCTCGACGCCCCCCGCGCCTGGCTCCGGCCAGAAAAAGAAGTACATTTCTCCACCGTGGAAGAAGGTCGCGGCCGACGGCCCGACGACCTTCATCGACAACGGTAGACGGAAGTCTGGTCGCATCAACACGATTCCCCTCGAGCTCCATCCACCATCTGGCAAGCGGATTACACGCGGGGCTTTGCACAGCAGTCCTCCATCGAAGAACAAGTATGCTTCAACCAACGGTCATGCGACGACACCTATAACAAACGGGACATCAAAGACTCCCTCGCGGAAGCCGTTAGCGACTAAACCCGCACCGCCCCCCTCAGCCCGAGCCTCCGGTCGAAGGTCAACTGCGAACGAGACGAAGCCAACACCACGGTCAACGCGCAAATCATCGCCTTCCCCGCATACACAACCAACGAGGCAATCTACACGAACAAGGAGGGGCCGCCGTGGGTCCGTTGATGATACCACAGCGACAACATCCCCTGGTAGCCCGAATCACACTCGAATTAAGCTGCGTGTCCGCATGACCGACCTTCCCGTCGTTCATCCCGGGCAGGTTGGCAAGCGGGAAAGGATTGGGCCTACTTTCGAAGAATACTGGGAAAAGGCACAGACAATACCTGTCGAGGAAGGTGGCGTTTTTGTACCTGAAGATGGCCCAAGCTACACCGACGAGATGGCTCAAAGGGATGCCCAGGTCATATTGCGCGTTGAGCATGCTGTTGAGCCCGGCGGCATTCTCTCACAGGAGCGTTGCTCCCTGTTCGTACCCGAGGCCGAAGAAGAGCCCCCCCGGCAGTGGGCTCATGCAGACCATATGGTTAAGGCTATGGCCAACTTCCGAAAGCTAATGGTCGCAGAACAGCAGAGGCACCGAGCCCAGGCAAAGAAGATAGCCGAAGCTTGTAGGGATGCCTGGCTTCGGCGTCAACCCAAGTCAGCTGAAGAACTCGAAGCCGAGGCTAGGCTTATATGGATTGGCCGTTACAGAGTGGTGGTCAAAAGCATGTTTGGCACATGGGAAAATGTCCGTCATGAGATCAATCGCCGACGAATGCAGGAATGGGAAGCGGAGGAACAGCGCCGAGTCAAAGCCGCGCTTCAGCAGGCAGTCAACTTGTCAGAGCAGAAGTTACAGGCACGGCGTGCACAAGCCGATTCCGACCTCTCCGATGAGGATGAACTCGATGACGACGAAGACCTCGACGGCCTTGATAGCGATTTGGATGGCAGTCAAGCCATGTCGGTGGATGCGGACGATGACGATTCGGGCAATGAGAACGACGACGATATGTCATCTTCAGAAGAAGAAGAAGGGGGCGAAGATCACACTGGGGACGCTAGTGATGAAATGCTCACGCAAGAGCAACTAATCGAAAAATACTCAAACCTGCCGGACTTGTCTCCTGACGAGCAGACTGGGAGCATGCTCGCCAACGGTATGGAGTCAACCGCACAATCCACGGCAGTCGCTACCGATGCTGGTGAAGACGATACCAGCGATGAGTCTATCGACATGGACGACGACATGGGGTCCACAGATATGGATGACAGCGACGAAGGCTCTGAAGCAGTCGAAGAATCTGAGGATGACGAAGGCGAAGAGCCTGCAGGACTGCTGGGGATGCTGTTTGGGAAGTCCGAACTGCAGAAGATCAAGAATGAACCACCACCCGACGATGTTCAGGTTAACGATAGCGATACTCCACCTGCAACAACGTCCGCGCCGTCACCAAATGCCGAGGCCTCTTCTAACTTTAGAGACGAGGTGGTCGAAGACGAGGACGAGGTGTCACTGATCCAGCACCCGGGTGTTTTCATGAACAGCGATGAGATGGAAATTGACGATTCGGCACAAGCGCGAGTGGTTGTATCTGCGGCTGAGGCTACGAGCGATGTGGTTAAGAGAGCCGATGAAGTTATTTCCGAGCAGACAGATGTATCACCATCACCGCCGAAAGTAAACCAAGAATCGGAAAATGGTACGGACGAGAACAAGCCTCCAGCCGAGACGATGAAACTGCCCAGTGCTGCCGATATAACGGACGCACAAATCGTCGCCGAGGACGTTGAAATGGCAGATGCGCCGCCAAAGTCGGCGGACATTCCGAATTCTGCTCTGGCATCCGCTGCACCTGCAATTCCGGCAAAGCACACCACTCCCGATACAGACATTGTCACCGTTCCGCCGAGTCCCGAGCAAAGTCACTCACCACCTACTTCTGACACGAAACCCTCGGAGGTGGACACAATGTCCCTAGCGACACCAGGGGTGAAGGACCTTGTCAGTCGATCAGCCTCGCCACACCAACAACAAGAACAAAAGACGGAAATTCCGTTTCTTCTTCGTGGAACTCTCCGAGAATACCAACACGACGGCTTGGACTGGCTCGCCGGATTGTACGCCAACAATACCAACGGTATTCTCGCAGATGAGATGGGCCTTGGCAAAACGATACAGACCATTTCGCTTCTCGCCCACCTCGCGTGCCATCACGAAGTATGGGGCCCGCATCTTGTCATCGTGCCAACGAGTGTGATGCTGAACTGGGAGATGGAGTTCAAAAAGTGGTGTCCGGGCTTCAAGATCCTATCCTATTATGGAACGCAAGAAGAGAGAAGACGGAAGCGACAAGGCTGGAACAACGACGATGTGTGGAATGTATGCATCACATCGTACCAACTCGTCATCCAAGACCAGCAAGTCTTCAAGCGGCGACGGTGGCATTACATGATTCTTGACGAAGCTCACAACATCAAGAACTTCAAATCACAGCGCTGGCAGACCCTACTTGGATTCAATACCCACTCCCGCCTTCTTCTGACCGGCACTCCACTTCAAAATAACCTTACGGAGCTATGGTCGCTTTTGTTTTTCTTGATGCCCGCCGAAAATGGCGTCGGGGGTTTCGCAGACCTACAAGAATTCCACGACTGGTTCCACAAGCCCGAGTCCCAGATCCTGGAAAACGGCCGCGAGACGATGGATGAGGAAGCCCGTGCCATCATCTCCAAGCTGCACAAGGTTCTGAGACCGTACCTTCTCCGACGACTCAAGGCAGACGTCGAGAAGCAGATGCCAGCCAAGTACGAGCACGTAGAATTTTGCCGCCTGTCGAAACGCCAGCGCGAGCTTTACGATGGCTTTTTGGCCCGGACCGAAACTCGCGAGACTCTCTCCTCCGGTAATTATCTTTCCATCATCAACTGTCTCATGCAGTTGCGGAAGGTCTGCAACCACCCTGACCTGTTTGTCGATCGCCCAATCATGACATCTTTTAGGATGCAGAAGTCTGTTCCCGCAGAGTATCAAGTCACCGACCAATTCCTACAGCGGTCTTTGCTTGCAGTAGAGCCAATGTCTATGGTTAGCCTAGGGGTTCTCAACATGATTCCAACACAGCATGAGAACATGTCAAACACAACGGCAGAGCGAATCTCACAGCTCAGTTTGCATAGGGTGCTCATGGAGCTGCGGGAGGCTCAGAACACCAGGGCACACCTCGCCCGAACAAATCTTGATCCATCGACTGTCCAATCTAACATCATGTACCTGGACAGTCTTGCTCGATGGCGTCGTTTTGAGGAGCTACAGCACAGCGTCTACTTGAACGCACTTCGTGGTCAACGACGACCGATCTACGGCAAGCGGCTGATTGACTTTCTGACGCTTGGGCTGGATATTCGACCCCGAAAGCCCAAGCCAAGAGTCCCCAATCAAATACTGAACTGGTTTGCACAAGATTCCGACTTCCTTCGCGCCGTTATCCATACTGCGGATGAACGAGCCGACTCAATGCAAACAACCATCCAGAAGTTTGCATGCGTCACCCCGGCTGTCATCACCCGCGACATGAACGAGGTCATTTTGGGTAGAAAGGCTGCACAGGCCTTCACGGACGAAGACCTCAAGTTGTCTGCGCCAGTTCGATGGGCCCCGTTCATGCCCAAGCAGGCGCCCATTGACCCCTGGCATGAGTCTCGCATGCGTCTCAGCATCCAGTTCCCCGATAAGAGACTGCTGCAGTACGACTGTGGAAAGCTTCAAGCCTTAGACAAGCTCCTTCGCAAGCTGCAGGCTGGCGGTCATCGCGCCTTGATCTTCACGCAGATGACCAAGGTGTTGGACATTTTGGAGCAGTTCCTCAACATCCACGGGCACAAGTACCTCCGTCTTGACGGCGCGACAAAGATTGAGCAGCGGCAGATTCTCACGGACCGATTCAATCATGACCCGAGGATTCTTTGCTTCATCCTGTCGACGCGTTCAGGTGGTTTGGGAATCAACCTCACCGGCGCGGACACAGTCATCTTCTACGACCAAGATTGGAATCCAGCCATGGACAAGCAATGCCAGGATCGATGCCATCGTATCGGTCAAACCAGGGACGTGCATATCTACAGACTGGTCAGCGAGCATACAATCGAAGCCAACATCCTGCGCAAGGCGTCACAAAAACAGATGCTCGATGACGTTGTCATCCAAGAGGGTAGCTTTACCACGGACTACTTCAACAAGCTATCGGTACGCGATGTCCTCGGCACCGAAGGCAACGACCTGGTCGACGATGCTGCCAATGCTGCCATGGACCGTCTCCTGGGTGGAGTCGACAGCGGGCCTTCGAGAAGCGTGGGCGAGGACCTCAAGCAGGCCGAAGATCAGGAAGATGTGGAAGCTGCCAAGGCCGCGGAGAAGGAACTCCAAGAAGACGACGCTGAGTTCCAAGAAAAGAGCGGGGCACCCTCAGGGGCTTCGAGCACCCGACAAGGCACACCGCGGGATGACTTTACCGCCCAGTCGAGCGGGCCCGGTCCCTCGGGTCTGGGCCGGTTCTCAGAGTCTGCTGCGCCTGACGAGGCTGCGGCGGAGATCGAACATAACGCTTGGGGCGAGCGGATGTACAACATTGACGAGTACATGCTCCGGACAATGGCGGAACAACTCAAGGGCACGGCGCTCGATCTGCCCAAGGACAAGAAGAAAAGTAAGAAGAAGGGTCGAGACACACGCAAGCGGTAGATGCCGTGCTATGTGTTCGTCATTACTAGATATAACTATAGTAGCCGGTGTTGTTGAGTGCGTGTGTGTTTTTTTTTATTCTCTTTTTTGTATTATACGGAGGTTGCGCATGGGAACATACAGATGGTCTCAAGTTTGGCTAGACCTCACATGTATAACGAAAAACGGCGCCTTGGTGGTCAGCCGTGGTGGCATGGAGTTTGAAAAGGATATCTATTGGTGGGAAGAACCGTGCCTTTGGGGCATCAGGTAGACAAGCACAAAGTTAAATTAAGCTAAATCTCCAAGCAACGGCAGTTTCTGATGCACCAATTCACGATTGGACGAATGCTTCGCTGTTACTTCATCATTCCAGTATTCGGGGATTGATCGATCAAACCGATGCCCCAGAGTCCGCCGCCCCCTCTTTCGCCGCTTCCTCGGCCCACGCCGCGGCCTCCTTCTTCAGCTCACGGCTGACATACCAAAACGTCGCCAGCGTCCACAGGCCCGTCCACACGAACGGCAACGACCAGCCGATTGTATAGGCGACATCGCCGGGCATAGTGAAGATCAAGGCCGTGCACAACGCGGCGCACGCCTCAGCGCCGACGGCCCAGAAGATGCCTAGCCGGCGCAGCATCGCGCGAAAGATGTGGCTCGCCTCGTAGCGCCGGTCGAGTGCGACGCGGAACTCGGTACCGCCGGAGCCATCCACGGCGCAGACATCCTCGATGAGGGAGTAGATGCCCGGGCGAAGTTGGGCGCCCTTGGGGATGGAAGAGATGCGGCAGGGGGCGGGAAGGCGGAAGGCGCGGCTCACGTCGACGAGGAGGAGCTCGGTGCCAAAGACGAAGAGCATAGTTGTGACGGGCATCGAGAGGAGGCGGATTGGGGGATGGTCGGGCACGGTGCCGCTGGGACGCGTCAGTGATGATATGGGAAGGGGGAAACTTGAGAGGGGGTGGGGAATAACTTACACGATGAGCTCGATCATGACGATGATCCAGGCAAAGGAAAAGTTCCAATGGAACCAGTCGAGGTACCACCGGTGGGCGCCGATAACGCGACAGGTGCTGCCCTTACGCCACAGACGCCAGAAGCGGACAAAGTACTCGACAATGCTGGCACCACCGACGGCGGCGGTGACGATGGAGAAGACGGCGTTGGGGCTGAGCTTTTCCCTCTTCTCGGTCGGTGTGTTGGTGCCGGGCCCTACGCCGTACCAGAGACCGAAGTATAGGGCAATGGGGGTGAGGACCGAGTCAAAGATGATGAGGGCCCAGAAGATGATGATGGCCTTCTTGCGGGTGCGGAGGTTGTAGTTGAGCGACGGGGGCGTCGGTTGGAATACCGGCCTGCCTGGGTGACGGTCCGGGCCTGTTCCTGAGGTGTTGCTGACTTCGGGAACTGCTTCGTCGGCCGTGCCAGGGCGGATGGAGGAGCGGGCTGTCGCCAGGCTGGGCCGGCCGAAGGGGCCATCGTAACGGCGGTCAAAGTCATGGCTCGGGCGGGAGATGCGTTTCGTTGACGAGGTCGTCGGGTTGTGGTGCGGCGCCGACGTTGGTCGTTGGGATACGCCGAGGTTGCCGGGCATGCTCTGGGACTTTTCGTCCCGGGGGTAGTCTTCCCACGTATCGAGGACGTGAAGAGTGCGTTCGGGCGTACGTGGCTGTTGGCCGGTGACATGAGAAGGGGCTGCGGGCCCTTGGGGTTGGGTAATCTGCAAGCTGTGCCGACCGAACATCATGGGGTCTCTATTGCGAGAATCATGGTATTGATTTTTGGGAGGTTGCGGAAGGGCCGGACTTGAAGGGGTGTTGGCCCCAGTAACATGTTTCTCATCCATATCAACAAGAGGACGAGTGATAAGTTGTCGGCAAACTTCTGGTGGAAGGGGATGGACTATAAGTGGTCACTGTTAAATCAGATAAAACATAAAGATCATTTTATCAAAGGAGGGAGTATCATGCCCTCGCTCAGTCATTGAAAGAACGTTGGTCGAGTATCAAATCCAACTGGTGAAGCGAGTGCCGCGCCGCCAAGCCGAACTGGGCGACGATCGTGACATTCCGGGGCTTCCAGCGAAAAGGTTGGCACAACAAGTAGTGGCACAGGCCAATTCGCGGGTGAGAAAAACGAGAAAGAGAACAAGAGACACCAGACAATGTACCAGAGCATCGTTGTGGAATACGGGCATACGTTGGCAGGTGACATGACATGCGCGGGGGAGAGGCGGCTCCGCCGGGCAGGATGATGTCAGGATGAATATTGTGGCGAACATGCTTCCCTCGGAACGATGGCGCTACCTAGTGGTTTGATTTCGCCGTTCGGGTCCGGGTCTCTTCCCACATCAGTGGTTTCACTTTCGCATAGTGTACCGGTACACTAATTACTTACTGTACAGCCCCAGTGGATGATGTTGCCCCAGTGACACTGATTAAGTCACTTGTTGCGGTGGAAGGAAAGAGGAAAACATGGAAAAGAGGAAAGAGACGACAGGGCAGCAGATAAGATGAGCTGTGGCCAAGGCCCGTGCACCAGGTACCACGTACTGTGTACCGGTAGATAGGAAGGTACATTGTACTTGCCTACATCGTGGCTCCTGCCTTCCTCGAGTTTGCTCAAGTCGCTCGAACCTTCTTCGCCTGACCATGCCCCGGACTGTCCACTCCGCACACTGACAAACAACCCGGTTTTCCACTGCCTAAAACCATCTGACATCTGCAGGACCCTCGTTCCAGACGTGGGTCTCCTTGAGGCCATGAACCGCTCGATACCTTATCCTAATCACATAGCGTCGCCCCAGTAGCCGCTCCTCAGTCCCTAGCCCTTCTGTCATGTCGTGGGCGTCGGCCGCGTCACCACTCGTCTCCAAGACGAGTCCCACTGCCTTCTTGGCCTTTTGGAATCAACACGCCCCCTACTCTGTGGCGAGGACCATATGAACCATATGGCTTTCTTGAGACTGCAGAAGGAGTTCGTCGAGGTCACGGTCGACCAAAGAATCTTCGTTTATGACATCGAAGCACACTACCACTCCCTAGATACAACCCGTCAACTTTTCGCCTAGTCGCAGACCAGAATCATGTCACTATAAGAACGAAGATCAAGTTCAAAAGTCAAGTCTTCAATTGAGAAAGCTCCGCAGCGCAGCTGCTCTGGCAGCTCAGCTGGCCCTCCAGTTACCCACTATCAATACACTGTGCAGAAACGTACACGCTAATAATCTTCAATTCAATCATCAGATGCTGAAGGCCGAATCTCATCTTCCACCGCTAACAACGTCGGGGCATCTAGGCAATAACCTCGGCGTGAAACTGCTCCGCGGCAGCGGCCGGGGCAGCGGGGGTGGCAGGGGCGGCGGCGGCGGCACCCCCAGAGAGCTTCTGAATACCTCCGTCCAGAGAGTTGGTGACCTGGTCGACAGACTGCTGGGCAATACCCTGACCGATGGCAGGGATCTTGGAGACAACGGCGCTGCTGAAATCACCGGCAACGGCCTTCTGCTGCTTCAGCTGGTCAACGGCGATGGACGTGGCCTGGAGCTTGTCAAGCTCGGGCTTCTTGGAGACGAGGTCGTCGACTGCAGTCTGGACGGCGGTGGTCAAACCTCCGGCAGACTGCTGGAGGGTGAGGGCATCGCCGATGGAGAGCTCTTGCGCGCCCTGGATCTGGGTGGTGCCCTGCTTGAGCACGGTCTGGACCTTGTTGGAAGCATCGAGGAGGTTTGCAGCGGTGTTAGGGTCAGCTGCGTTGAGAGCCTGTTTGAGATCGGGTCAGTCTTGGCTCTGGACCATTGTTGATTGTGGGTAAGCGTACCTTGACAGTGGTATCAAGCTGACCGAGGGAATCCTGAACATTCTGCAGAGCACCCTGGATAACTTGGAGTTGACGCTTGCTGTTGAGCGAAGCTGGCATGGCAATGGCGGAGCCGGCAATCAAAGCCTGAACGAAGAAGGCGGAGAAGTGCATTTTGACTATTGGTTTATAAGGTGAAGCTCGAAATGGCTGTTAGACTGAAATAGGAGGTGGAGTTGTTTGATTATTGTTCTGACTTGAGTATTGAATGCTGATGAGAAGGAGAGAAGACTGACCTAGACAAAGGATTTTATCGACTTAATATACAGATTCCAAGATGTCGTACATGAAACACATCAGCTTTCGTTCCTCGACTATAGGAAGAACTCGTCTGAACCGCTCCAGAGTACGCCTAGGAGGCGCCGGAAACCGTAAGAATCGTCACCCTGCACTCGGGACTGCAGATACGCGGTGCGCGAAACCGGCATCCGCTCACACCCGCCACCACGAAAGGAACATACCCGCTGTCGCCCGGGCTGCCAAGATTGACCCCTTTGGAGCCTCGTCCAGCTTGTGTCGTGGTTACGGTGCGAAGACGTACCCTTGAAACGCGCGCAGACGACTAACCCGTGCGGTATGCGGGTTCGGCTGACGCAAAAGAGACCATCACGGCTCCCTCTTCCTCCAGACGAAACAAAAGGCCAAGTCACGGACCCCACCCGGACGCGCCAGCTTCAACACTGGGTGAATAATGACGAGCTTCTACTCCGAATTTACGTAGGAACCCTTGCGTTTGTAGAGGCGATTCCTTGCATTTTCGTCTCCTAGCACTGGAGGTGTTCGCCCGCCGCGATCTGTACCTTCGTCGCTGCTTCTCCCAGGAGGCGGTCGGTTGCCGCAATGCCCACCGACGCGGTCCGGATGGCATAGTTTCATCCAGCTCGAGGCCCTGTATTTGTCAATGGCTATTTTCAACCGCGTTCGTGACGCACCAATCGCGATGGGTGAAGTATGATCTGGAAGGCTGGTGTCGTCTCGGCGCAGACGGGTACTGCCTGCGCTACTCAAACGTGCAGTTACGTCGCTGCTAGCCACCTGTCGCGCGCGTGTTCACATTCCCTCCCTTCGACTAACGCATCAAGCTTAACTGGGTCGTTTTGCAGGTCGGTGGACTGCCGAGTGGCGCATGTTTTGTTGACTTCACTCCTGCAGAACCTCAAGCACTCTGGGTGCGGGAATGCCAACACCGAGCACATCGGGGTGTTTTGCCTGCATACATGTGTATCATTAGTTTCTAGCTCCCAGCTAAACGGGATAATGCCAGGCGGAACTCCCACGGGAACTAGATTTACCTCCTGCGCGGCGGCCGCTAGTGCGGCACTCAGCGACGTCGTGCGTATTCTTGGCGACGCTGCAGTCACGCCTCAGCCCACCATGAATGACAGCAACACCAGTAATAGCTAGGGCGGCTGGACTTCTACCAAGGGGCTCAAAGATTACCGCACTCGCATTCGACTCTTCGTCATGCAGATTATCTGCCCATCCGAGACGATGGCACGCTTGACAAATGTTGTAGGCCAGGTGTCATATGGCCGCAGGCACTGGCACCCTCTATTATACAACCGTCCGTGCCATGAGCGGCTATGTAGCTATTCTGGCGTTGCTAGGACCTGCAAGCCTGCAGGTATTTCACCAATCCGATGGTGTGTGTGAGACGGGGTTGGTTGAGCTGGGTGGAGGATACTCCTGACGATGGCGGAAGAAGCCTGAATCTGTCATCGCCGCGACAGCGGCGCATTGTGGTCCTGCCAATGGCTCGGGCTCATGAGATGGCTCCGGCTCAGCGGGTGTCATGACAACCACCCATTCTTCAAGGTCATCTGGTGGCCCTCAGAGCTTAAGTTACGAGGGATAGACGGCTGGAAGCATTCACTCGATGTCTGGTGTGTTAAGACCGGAGGGAGCACTGTGCTCGCCTCGACTGCTTCACGAACCCTGACGAACGACCGAGACCGGGTTGGCTCAGGCACGCAATTTGTGACGTCCGAAAGCGATCTTCTCTCTCGTATGGTCATTGATAGAGTTTATTGAAGTTTCTAATCCGGACTATGACCAGTCCGGACCTTCCAGAGGGAGTCCCTGCACTCAACATTGGCCGTGAGGCCCACAGACGGGCATCGTCCCACAATAACCACGATGTGGTCCGGACTTTAGACTTCTGAGAGTATGTTTTTTTTTTCCTGGGCCGAGAATTCCCTAGAAAGGTTAACTGTCGCTTCCATCCTTGGATGATTCGCAATTGGGACGCCTCTCTTTCGCATAGGGGCTGCTTTTGAAGTCATGTCGTGGGCATGTGGGGTCTGGGGTCTTTCGGGAGATCGTCAGCTTTATGTGGAGTGGTGATCCGGGTAAGTGGATCACGGTTCCGTCGGAAGCAAGGGATACGACTGCTCTGCTGTGGGCCTCCACTCTGAGCAAATGCTTGGCCACAGTTTGCTATCTCTTGAGATTATCCAGTTTGAACAGTTCAGTAAGAATAGTCGCACGAGTTATGTTGCCAACGGCGACTGTCTATCGACTTTTAGAAGGCAAAGAAGGGGGCCAGTCTCGCAGATAGCGAGAAGAAGGGAAGAAAGAAAAGAAGACATGCATCAGATCAAAGCAACGACTCCCAGTACAGCCATGCTACCCGTCGGCGTCCCCCGTAATATTCGACCGTAGTCTGCCAACATCGTCGCGAGGCATTCAAACCCTTCAACTATCCCGGTCGTCATTTCTAATATTTCCAGGCGGACCCTTCGACCTATCCTTGCCTACTTTACCAAGGATCTGTAGACAACGAACCTTGATCGCAGCCTTAGGGCCTTCAAAGTAGGTTTATCATGGAGGTACAGACGAACGCAGGTCCTGGGCTAATCTGACCGAGACCTGATGTTGCCTAAGAAGGCCATTATCACTGCGTGCCGAATAATTAAAGTTTCCCTGCTCGCATTCGCAATTGCAGAATTCGCCTGGTAAAACCCGACTCTATGAGTGACAAATATCGACCTGTTCATACCCACTTCGTATCCTCATAAAGCAACTATCACGTCAAACCTTTCAATCCAACCAACTCGACGTCCTCCATTTCTGCTGGGCTCTCAACCGGTCTCTTTGCCCTTGGTTTCTTGATAATCTCCGACTGTCTTAGGTGCACCTTCTTTTTGTATTTCTTTTCGTTCTACAAGTTGTTCCCGTTGCTGGAGATACAACACCTGCCAAAGCCACATCTTCTGAATCATTGATTGAGAACCAACTAATTTGATAGACATTCCTATGAGCTATCAAATAGTTCACACGAGCATGCATTGCTGCTCTCGGGTCCTGCATATTCTGGTCACTTCAGTGGTAGCCACAGACACTGTCTGTGCCTGAAAACGGAACCATATTCGATCGTATGCTGTTTAGACTACTATCAAGCTACAAGCTTCTGAAAAAGCTTTATCCTCTATACCCACATGTTAACAAAAAGCATTTGAAGTAGTCTTTTTTATTCATGGATTCCAGTTCAAAATCTGGAAACGAGTGACAGAGTGAAGCGTGATGAAGTGTGCCCGTGTTACGCGATTGTACAGTGACATGTAATAAGTCTGAGATCACCACACAATGTGCCACCTTGAATGGGTGAGGCCAGACTTACTACATGTCACTATAGATAAGCTCAAATCACACCTGTATCTATAACCTAACTTTAAAGCCTATCGAGACCTTAACGAGAGAGTAGACCTATGCCATGGAGTACTTACACTGTAGTGTAACGACTGCTGAATACTATTACGTCTGGGAAGCTATATTGATATGGTTCATGGTATCTTATTAACTATACCTAGCTGTTTACTTGCCGTATTGCTAGCTTATGATACCCAGACCCTCTTCTACTTTTCTTCACAGACTCTTGAGCTTGTCCAGACTTACTACTTGCCAGCCTTTCAATGTTTGATATATTGCTATTCGCATTCAATCAATCGCCAGCTGCAATACGAGATTCGAAGAAAAACAACTTAACAGCGACGGACCGCACTCAGTTATGGTATCTATGGTTTCGGTTGTGTGGCATTACCTGATCCCGAGGTACCATCAAAGTGGTGTACGGTTCCTAATACTTCCGTACAACACTTTCCAATGTAAGGAATTTAAAGGCTGTGAGATCAATATTATGGCTTTCATTTTAAAGCCTTTGGAAGAAGGAAGACCAGCTATCGGCGTCCCAGGTTCCGATTTTTGTTATTCGCCAAGCCCATAAATTACTGTTGTACCAACATCGCGCAGAAACTCCGATTGCCAGTCAAGCGACCAGCGTACGGGGTAATATAGATAAGAAAGCATAGATGCTCACTCAATTACCGGTCATCTTACTTCAAGCATTGGACGTCTTCGACTGCTCTTCAAATGTCATCAGACCCGGGCCCCCATGGCGATGCCATCTTTGCTGTCGTAGCTCCATGTGCCACAACTATTATAGCTATCAACACGTCCTAATGGCTGTCCATTGCGCGTTAGGCAGTATAGAAAATGTGGTCAAAGATATCATTACTCTGTTTCCTCTCGAGGCGCTTCAACTTCTACGGTGGCTGAGGTGTATCTGAGGATGGCCCGACGACTCCCGACGAGGGGCGAGAATTCTCGTCCCGCTCCGAGTCCATCATTTTCAGTTTCCCTCGCCTGAACGTCGCCCACTACAGCTCGTCGCGTGTTTGGGACACAGGGGCATATAATTTCATATCTCGAACCATAAAGACCATACGTGCCTCATCTCGTTTATGCACGGGGGCCCCTCATCTCTAACTCATTCCAGATTGAGATAGCTCGCCTCGAACACCTCGCAGATGCCCTCCTGGGCCGAAAACTCGCATGTTACGTTGTAGTACTTACTCGACGCCCGGGCGGAGAAGTGTCTTCGCTTTCAGACAGTGGGACAGCAGTAACCGGTACTTTAGGGTCATGTCCGCTTTTGTGAATCAAAGGTTCAGAGTCCTCATTCGGATAATATTCCCAATATGACGTCCTTCACGAAGGCGTAGGCCTCAGTGTAAGCACGCCCTTGATGACTTGCTTGTATTAGAGTTCAAGAAATTCTGCGTCAGCATTGTCGACAAGCGGCCGGGCTGAAGCGTTTAATACTTCTTAGGGAGCGTACTCATCGTTTGCATCGCGTTTCGTTGATCCCTCTTACGTGGAGAGAACAACAGACGGACAAAGGTGGCGATGGCGTCTCGACCGACTTCCCCTCATATTTGACTTCGTCGTGCGACGAATCCCACAAAAACGCTAAAAAAGGAAAAGAAAAAAGAGCCTTTGCCGAGCCCAGCAGGCAGTCACAAATAACTTTGACACCAGATCGGCAATGCAACGGCCCTAGGTTCGGAGGCCCAAAGCCTCACATAATCCCGTCGGCATCCGATTACTAGCTGTCGATGAGATGATTAGGCTGTAAGAGAGTGTGAAGGCGCGGTCAGCCCTGGGGCCAGCCCAACTAGGTCGGGCAGCTTCATCAGGCGCGAAGTGCTTGAACTGACCGGAAGTCTGCCCATTGGACGAGATGGCACACCACCCAGTGTGCTACACAGACCCTGGGTTAATGCCCAGGGAATCAGAATAATTCGGGGTTTGAAATATCCAGAAGTTAGATTCGGCAACGTTTGATTCATCCGTGTCCAGAGGCGTCGTGGTGGGGAGAAGATGGAACGGCCGCACTCATCAGTCACAAACAAGAAACATTCAGTCCCGCGAAGAATTGGCTACATGTAAAAGTGAATGAGAGGATAAGAGAATCCCGTCGTTCGGGGCTAGAATCAACTTGTCTAATGGGCATAGGTTGCAGAATCATGTTGGAAATGTTGGAAATGTTGGATTAATCCTAAGTGAATTCTCTCTCCTGTCGCGGGTATAATAACCTCTTCTCCCGAGCACGCAATTGTGCTAGATATTACCAAAAGAAACATTACATAACGCCGACATACCAGCGCACATGGCACCACCCTCCAAGCGTCCTCTCGTAGTACTGAGGAAACACTAGCCTAATACATGGGAAGTTTTTTTGCAACACCCGAGTACTGCCACCAGGACATGCAGGTATTTAAACTGCGGTGCTTTGCATCTCGCCAAAATGGGAACCTGTCTAGAAACAAGTTTAAAGCCCATTGCTAGGCCCCGCGCCACCGATGTGGCCGTGGTCACCATCGTGCTGTCCATTGCGGGTCTTGGGCTGGCCCGGCTCACGGATGTGCAGGCCCAGCGCCGTTGGGTCAATGTTCCTGTGACCCCAGAGCAAGATCAGGCCGAAGCCGGGCTTGGCCAGCACATCGAGGATGCCGTAAAGGACGGCCTCGGAATTCGGGTGGATGAGGTTACCGCCCTCCGCCAAACCCCAGGCAATCGGGTAGATGAACCACAAGAAGATGGTGAGCACGCCGCAGTTTCGGTACGTGGTGCTGACATGGCCGCCCAGTGAGGCGGCGTGTCGGCGTCCGTCGATGACGAGTGCATAAATAACATAGAAGAAGGCCAACATGCCGAAGACCCAGTAGCCCCACTTGTAGCTCGTGCTTGTGAGGGCACCGACAAGGCCCGTAACGATCATGGCCTCGTCGGCGAGCAGGGCGATGAGGATGCTGGGCCAGGGGAGACCGGCCGTGAGGAAGAGGTCGAGCAGCAGCAGCGGCGTGGTAATGGCCCAGTCAATGTACCTCACGTAGAAGATCTCGCGCGTGCCGGTGCCGTTCGGGCCGAGTATGTCGTTGCTACGCGGGAACTCGACCTGGATGGGCACTTGGCCCAGGCCAGCGCCCATAGAAAAGTATGATATGCAAGCGACAAAGGTGATGGATGCCGTGATGTAATGGAACAGGCGATGCGTCTCGCGCTTGGCGAAGCCCATGCCCAAGAATATGACGGTAGTTATGGCCATGATGGCGCAGATGGCAAAGTACCAGTCCGAGCCACGCGTCGTGATGCCCAGGTCGGCCTTCTGGCCGACGCGGTTGTTGGTGAGGATAGCTTGGTTGCCTGCCATTTTGGCGGTAGTTTCCTGGCTCAGTTGAGTGTGTGTATGTGTCTGTGTGTGTGTCGAAGCTTGCGGGTGGTCAGAAAACTGATGTCAGGTGCAGCTTTGGTGTCTGCCAGCCAACTGGTGATGGATAACTGTGACTGTGAATACCTAGGTAAGATTAGCTGAGAGAGTAGGGGGCCTGGTACATACAATATATCTCTTCTCTTGTCTCTCGACACCTCAGACTTAGCCCCAAGCGAGGGCGATTCCAACAGCCCCTGCCGGTTGGTCCGTATCTAGTTCCATCTCATGATTCCCTGGAACGTGAGGGGAAAAGCAAGAAGTGTGGCATTGAGATTGTCACGAAAGCCAGATGACGTTTAGACTCGAATCAACGACCGACCGGGAGCCGTAGATGGCGAACGATAGGTCAGGACGACGATGGGGGGTCGAGAGTCGACAACACCACCATTCCCCATCTGGAAGCAGTAGGTAGGTAGCTCGCACGGTAGACCGAAACCAACCGCTGCGACACCCTCGCAGATGAGACTTGGCCAAACGCGAGCCAAGGCGGGCACCCCAGACGGGGTCGAAAGCTTAGCTGGCGCGCGTTCCCTGTTAATCGTCCGGGGTTGTTGACGGAATGTTTGGATCACAGCGTGACGCAGAGGCGTATTCCTGCTCTGCATCAGCTTGGAAGCGGGGTCCGGCGAATTGGATCGGTCGAGTGAAACCTCAGACCGTGCAGCTCAGAGATGGATCCATGGCGATGAGTTTATCTAGACAGCCCCGGTTTCTGGGTGCCGAGCGGAGAAAATGACGGCTACTGACTGACTGACTGATTGTACAGCAACGGCGGCAAAAACGAAAACGATGCCAGTTGGGCCGGAATGTCTGGGCCATCCCCACTAAGCCATTGTTTGTAAGTCGTTAATGGCATGGAGTTACAATGCCGAATCTGTAAGCGCAGAGAGAAAAGCGAAGAGAGTAAAGAAAGAAAAAAGAGATTTCATATCGATGAAGTCACCACTTTCGCCCGGGATTGCACCGGATGCTTCCCCACAAAGCCGGATCTAGCGCCGGCAAATGAGTGGCAGTGCCGGAACAACAGGCAAAACTATACTAGTCGTCCACGTTCCTTTGATACAACGGCACAACGGCCTGCTAGTCTCATTTAGACCACTTTTGAAAGCTATGGCACACGTAGGAAGGTAAAACTGCTTGCCATATGGTTTGTCGATTGCCAAGCCAGTAATCCGATCTGGTTTGCCCTATACTTGTGTCAAGATGGGGTCTGGTGACCACACGCCGAGTGCTTGTGGGTTACATTAGGTTGTCAATCTCCTCCAGCCGAACTTGCGCCTGAAAGTCTCTTTCTTCGAGCGGGGAGAGTTGGCAAAAGTGTTGCGGCCCATCCTTGTATGGAATTCCAGATGGCCATCCCCATTGCGGTCACCTCAGGCTAGGCTTTCTGATGCCCCTCTCATGCAGACAGTTCAAACCATCTCCAAACCAAACCAAACCATGCCTGAGCTGGGCAGTATACTAATTGCGCCCCGGTAGGTTGACTGGGGAAAAGAGTGCCCGAGCACCTCCGAACCCCCGAGCGCTGCTTCGTCCAATGTCGTCATACTGCAACACCAACTAATGAAACCCCAACGGCAGTTTTGGTATCGTTTTGGTTCATGGTTTTTCAGGCTGGCGATCTAGGTTTCTATGCAACCATTAAATCATCTTGAAGAACCACAAACGGAGAGGAGCCATTGTTCATCTTGGATACGTACCTCGGCTTGCGGTGATTTGCCCCGACATGTCCGCGTTGCGCAGCTGGCGCAGATGGTTAACTAAGCTTGGAAGCCTTTCACATTCTTCCTTCGTCGTGTCACGACGCTGATATTTTCTCCTGATCACTGAGAACAAAAGTCGCATATCGTGGGAACGGTCTTGCGTAATCACGCATCGTTTCTCGACACCACCATGGATATGAGTCCTCGCATGGAAGAGGTGGCAGGAGAAACAGTTGAGACCCGTCACCCGTCAGTATCTACTCTACTGTTATCTCCACCTCGGGCTAACAACATCTTTCGATAGTTATCTGTCAGGCAACTTTGCGCCAATCCAGTCATGTCTGCCATTGACGCCATGTTCATATGAGGGAACGATACCACTGGACCTCGCGGGGGGGCAGTACGTTCGCAATGGCGGTAATCCTGTAACAAATGATGACCAGACCCGAGCTGCACATTGGTTTGATGGCGACGGCATGCTGAGTGGCGTTTTATTCCGCCGTGTTGGCGAGAAAGATGCTACGATTCAGCCGGAGTTTGTCAACCAATATTTGTTGACCGACGTTTACTGCCATGCGAAGAGCAACAAGTACCTGCGCCGACCTGTTGTGCCAAGTATTGCGACGTTGGTAAATCCCACCACGAGTATGCTTCGCATCGTATTCGAGGTTTTCCGCACCGTCTTCTTCGTCATGATCTCTCGCCTTCCTGGATTTGGTCGTCCGATCAAGAAGATTAGTGTTGCGAACACCAACGTAATATTCCACAACGGGCGCGCGCTGGCCACTTGCGAAAGTGGTCCACCCCTGAGATTTTCGTTGCCGAGTCTGGAGACTATTGGCTGGTTCAATGGGAGGACGGCCGAGAACGAGTCGATTCATGGCAACGAGAGCGGGTTTGGCGGCACAGGCGTCAAGTCCTTCATGAGGGAATGGACGACCGCGCACCCTAGGGTCGACCCGGTGACTAAAGAGCTCATCACATTTCATGCGACGTTTGTCAAGCCGTTCGTTCGTTGCTCCGTCGTACCGCCGACGTCAAAGCCCTTCAGCGGCTGCCAGCCCATGTTCGACGCGCCAGTTCCAGGAATCGAATCGCCAAAGATGATGCATGACTTCGGGGTGTCGAGACGTCACACTGTCATCATGGACCTTCCGCTCTCTCTGGATACGATGAACCTACTACGGGGGATTCCTAGTTTGTCATATGATTCCGCCGGCAAGTCGCGCTTTGGGGTGTTCCCGCGATACCGACCAGATGCCGTTGAGTGGTTCGAGACAAACCCTTGCACAATCTTCCACACCGCCAACTGCTGGGATACGATACTACCAGAAATTGATAACAACAGCCCTGGGATGTCAGTGAATCTCGTTGCGTGTCGCCTAACATCGGCGGCCATGGTCTTCAGCGCTGGCAACCTACCAACGCCTGAGGTGAAACCTGTGCCTCCTGAGTATGCGGAAGAGGAGCAGTGTCGGCTATATTACTATAACTTTCCACTGTCGAATAAAGCTGGCGTCCAATACAACATCAGACACCAGTGGGCTCTGTCCGCCATTTCCCTTGAGTTTCCGTCTGTCGCTCCGGCATACTCAATGCAGGAAGCTCGGTATGTCTATGGGTGCTCGACGGGCGAGGCATCTTATTCCGTGGCCCTTGGCAAGGCAGCAAAGATTGACCACTTGGCCAAGTTGGATGTTCAAACGCTCATTGCAAGGGGTCTAGCAAAGCCACCACAGCCTGTTAAGGGATGTGTAGACATGCGGAATGTTCATCAAATTCTGACTAGCAAGGACCCGAAAGACCCCATCAAACTTTTCCGGATGCCCGATGGATGGTACGCTCAAGAGCCGCGCTTCGTTCCTCGAAAACAGCCTCGGTCCGAAGACGACGGATGGTTGTTGGTATATGCGTTCAATGAGGCCCAGCTCGATGAGACAGGAGAATGCCTCCCAGATGCAGTGAGTGAGTTATGGATCATCGATGCGAAGGGCATGAAAGAAGTGGTCGCGCGGGTCAAACTGCCACAGCGGGTGCCATACGGCTTGCACGGAACCTGGTTCAGTGAGGATGAGATTAATGAGCAAATGCCATTCATTCAGACAAGGGGAATGGCGCAGCAATAGCCATTGTGCCTTCTAGCACCCGACCAGGCAATACTCGGGGATGAAGTGGGCTAGTTGGATGTTTGCATATGATACCATAGTCTTTCCAGTAATTAAGTAGTTGAAGTAAAAGTTAGGCATCATTCAACACGGTTAGTTGTATCGAGCTCACCTGTAGGATTTTCGATGTCAACATGGACCGGGAAAAGTTGCATGATAACTGGCACGATACTGTTGTCCGGACCCGAGAATGGAGCCGTGTGAGCCAGGCACGGGGAACCCGTGAGCGGTCACTGAAGCTAACCAAGCCGGTTGCTTTTGCTTGTCCGATGGAAGTAGAAGAGACTGGACAAATCGCGGCTGACAAGCACCACGGGAGAGTATTCCCTGAAGCTGGAAGCACTCCATCACTAGGTCAGTCACGCGAGATAGTGCTGGCACGAAGGCCGAGGAGCTCGGTCCTCCGACCTGAGATTCAAATCCGCTCCGATGGTGTAACTGGCCAATGCAATCGGTGCAATAGCTGGCCGCGCTAACATGCACGATACAACGGCTAGAGAAAGCGGAAACGTGACGTGTCCCCTCACAGCAGAGGCAAGCTTACTGCTCCGGATGCCGCGGGCGTCGTTCAGTGGACCACTCGTTACGAGGCTTCGGGGCAACATTCGGTCTCATCTGTTGTGTCGCCCAACTGTCATAGGGGCATGGTGTCAAAACCCTAGATGTAGGGCTTTTTTTGCTTCGCGGAGACAGATCTGATGGTGCTGAAATACGCAAGGAAGTATCAGGACCCCCGTTACACGCCATGCGCGCGATCAATATCAGCTCGTCTGGACCCGGCAGTGATGTGGGAACGAACACTGGGCTTGGCTCGCGACATATCGTGGCTGTGTCGGCTTGAGGCGTTCGGATGACATACCGTCTGCTTTATCAAGCCGCCGACATCAGCACGAAGTAGACCGTGCCTACCTACCTAGTGTGTGGCCGGTGCATCGGCCCTCGGGGCGGTTAGTGGCTGGGCTATGCAATGAAAGGAGCATAGTTGATGTGGTTTGTGTTGTTTCTGCCTGCCTTAGTCAACGCCAACGGCAAGCCCGACGACTGCTGTGAACATTGACCACCTACCCGTCCCGCTTTCGCTAGGTACGTGGGTTCTTCGGTTGAGTGACATTGTCGGCTCGAGTGCCCTGGATTAAGGGTCTGAGGCTTCAAGAGGGGGAGAGGGGGTCCTATGCTGCGTACCTATCCGTAGAGGCTGGCGCCATGCCCCCCCTCACCGCTTCTACTTGCCGGCGATGGGGCATGTCTAGGTTGCCCAACGCACTGGGAAGCGCCCCTCCTAGGCGTTGAGGCTCACGGGCGGAAAATCGTCAATCTCAACGTCCCTTGCCGCAGCCGCCAGGCAGTCTTCGCTACGACTTCTTCCGACGAGTGGTTGTTGTGTTGATGCCCAGACATTTCGCGAGCGCCGAGAAATGACCCCGCAGGGCAGTGCTGGACGGCAGCGAGGTATCAGTGAAAGGCGTGGCGACATTTCGGCGTCCAGATGTCATCTTTTGGCTTCCGAGACCGCGAAGGTGTTACCCGGACCCATATCAGGCCATCGCGTGTACGGATAATGAGAAAGCGTGCGGTGGACCGCAGTTAGTAAGACGCTTCCCCGCGTCTTCCCGAGCGAGACGCATTTCCCCTCTTCTTCCCCAAGGTTCCCCAGCATTGCACGGGGCCCATCGTTCGTGTGAGCGCGGCGCGAAGTGCCCGTTGTCCCTTCTGGCCTCTCGTCCTGGCTCTATTTCCGGTCATCCGAGCCCTTTGAGGGAGGGGGGGGCCCCCACACTTGTCATCGTGCGGCGGACAGATCTAAGCTCCGTAGATGGAGCCGTCAGATTGGCGCAAAATTTGGGGGCAATTAAGCTTAGCAGATGCAAAACGGGGCTGCTGCACGTGCGGATCGCCGCCCGATACGTGGCAGACGGGAACAGGAATGACTGGGTAACGACTTTAAGTCTCTGTCAAGAAGTGCGAAGCATTGTACACGCTTCGTCGCATGCGATTTCCTCCTTGGCCACGAAGCTGATTCTGTGAGAGCAACATGAAGCAAGCAACGACAACGATTCGTCGCGACGTGATAGTGTTTGGCACAAGGTCCTGTGACCAGATTGTACTTCGTTGTGGGTGCATACATGCTGATGGGTCATGTCGTCCAGATGAACCGTCATTGAGCCTGGGCGTCTTCTTCTTGATGTTTGGGCATGCTCGGTCTGTTTGTGCAGCAAGGTGCAAGTCCGCTTGGTTTCTCAGAAGGCTTCCCGCAGGGCAAGGCAACGGAGAGTGATTCAAGGGTGGACCCAGCAGCGGCGTATCGCTGGGGTGCAGTATTGAAAGCTGCCGACTCCAGTCAGTAGTGCATTCGTACATCTCGTTCTGGCCGACATAGTTGCAGTGTCTTGGCTTGGGCAGCCATCGTGCCGACGAATTGAAGAGACGGCCAAGCTCGACTCCTCAGGCAGGTCATTCTCTCATGCTTGCTGCCCATGTCAGTCAGTCGGTTTCAGGACATTTTTGACCTTGCCAAGCAGAGGTGCCAAACAGGAAAGCAGGGTCGGTGATGCCTGTGGAACCTACTGTTAGTGCTGTTAGTGGTCTTGGCCGGGTTGCGTAACGCGATTCGATGAGGAGTCTCAATATCACCCAAAAGGGGTCATGTGCCATGATGCATCTCCAGGACCATGTGCGCGTAGCTTTTCCCGTTCGACGTCTCGACCATGCCGACCCAGAGCCAAGACTGCAAGTATGGGGCTCGGTGCTCGGTGCTCGGTGGAGGAGTGGAAACAATGATTCCGCACCGCGGTGGACCATGGCAGCACCAGATATGCGCCAGAACAACAATGCGATGCAGGCACTCACTCGGTTTCGGAAAAGCGCATTGAAGAGTGGGGGGGATGGAGGGCAGACAGAGCAGACAAAGCCTGCCAGTCAGTCAGTCAGCAATGCAATGAATCAGCCAAGCTTGGGGGGGGGGGGGATGTGCCGTGTGCTCACCTACCATTTCAGGGGGCGGCGGCAGCAGTCAGTCATTAGCTAGCTATTATTGGCAGCGATGGAGTGGAAACCAATTCCTTGAAAAAAAAGAGGCATGACCATGATCAGACCATATGGTTTCTTCAAGAAACCATGGATTGGATTTGCCCGATATGTTTGCGCATCGAAACGGGTACGGTTTGGGCAGTCGGTGCAAGTGATGCTGCTGATGACGACGGCGACGGTTAAACGCTTGACGACTGTTTGATGATGAGTGGCGGCAGCGCCTGGGGCAAGCCGGATGGACGGGAGCAAGGTAAGGCGAGAGGGGTTTCCTTGGATGATGGAGGACGGAAGACGGAAACCAGGGCACGAGGCAGATGTTGTCGGTATGATGTCGATCGTCACGAAGAGTGGGTAAGCTTGGCGCGGGCCGACGAGCTGGTCAGTCCGGAAAGGCGCAAAGGTCTCTCTCTCCCCCGTCCATTGATAAGTATCTGGACGGACCGTGACAGAGAAGGAATGTCGTCTGATGTGCTCTGAGTACCTGGGTAGGTAGGTGGGAACTTGAGGACAGGAGTATGTACACGACGAAGCGAAGTACTCTATAAAGGAAAGGTACCTGTCACATAGGAAGCGTATACCGGTCGCAGGTACACTAGAGTAGGCACCTACCCAAGTACCTGACCTAGCAAAATGAGTAGGTAGGTACCTATCTTACTTGGTGTTGCTTACAACACGTTCGCGTGCTTTTATTCGGCAGTCTGGACCTGCCAAACGTGGATGACTGATGCGGAAAGCATTTTGTTGGAAACAGCAGCAACAACGTTTCTTCCCATCGGTGCTTGCTTCCCTCTCTGTTCTGGAACGGAGTCTAATGGTAGTGGTGGGGGCAGGCAAGGGCTTTGGCGCAACTCGCCAAGAGCCGCGTGTCAGCACGACCAATCAGATAAGCCGGTGCTTCATGACTGATCTGACGAATGATCGAAGGGCAGTGATTGTGAGCAGCGCTGAACAATGATGGGCAGACGGAGAGATATCTGCCTACTTACCTAGGTACCTGACATCGTAGTTGTGCACACATAATAATGATACATATAGCGGGAAGGCAACGGGAAACATCTTTACCTCGCGTTGATTGTTGAATGTCAAAGGAAGAGGGAGACGCTGGCAGGTGGTGCCGAACTTGACCTCATTAGACAGCGAGGTACGGATATACCTACTCACATACAGGTATACCTATATCCGTACAGGTACCAAAGTGCCCGGTTTGGACGACGGTTTGGCGGCTGGGCGGGATGGTTTAGACGAGTGGTTTGCACTGCCACTGTGGCCGCTCCCTCCTATCAGGTGGCCAGAAGCGTCCCAGCCCCGGTCGCTTCGGAGCGCCATGATTGGACGACAGGTTCTCTCCTTCCCTGATGATGACGACCAGCCCACTCTCGGCGGGCGCCAGTGCTTCTTGGCGGCGCCGCTGGCCTGCGTCTCCGTGTCGTGTCCTCTTCCAGCGGGAGCGCTTGCTTTGCCAGGTCCTGCCTGTTGTAGTGTAGCGGTTGCCACAGCACTGTTAGTGGGGGGGGCTGTGACAGTGATGCGCTATTGTATACATTTGCGCTGGTTGCGAACGCATTCGGCAGCATTGCAATACGCTACTACCTAGGTGCCTGACCTGGATACCTAGCGACAGTCATACTTTATCGGCTGTTTCCACTCGCTGCACAGCGCACCGGCGGAGCGGTTCTCCCACCTTCGCGAGGGGCGACTGACTACCTGAGTTCCTACAGACAAACAACACGTACACAGGCAGTAGCGGATGACGACGACATCCTGCCTCGTTGGGTTTGCCAATCTGTACCTGCCTGTATCGCGAAGAAGGGAAGGTGCGCATTGCATTGCGAGATACCCAAGGCAGGTAGGGAGGTGTAGGTAGGCATGCAGTATTAAGACAGGCAGGAAGTAAAACAGCAATCACCTATACCTTCCTTCCCTTCCGTTTCCGTTGCTTCTTTCTAACTATCGGCCTGTATCAACATACCTATCATCTAATGGTATGGTTTGCCGCCTTCTTCCCTCCCCTCGGCAACAGTCACCCCCGTTTCGGTTTGCCTTTCCTCCCGTCAAAACCATCAGCAAGCAACTTAAGACACGCCTTGGAATAGACCAAAACTCTGAGGCAATCGAGCTCGTCGCTGTCTGTAGGGTAGCTTGACTGCCAAGCCTCCTCCTGTCTGAACGACCCAGCTTCCGCATCGCTCTTACACCCACCCACTCAGTGAGCGGCTCCGGCAGAAAACATGCCCGGTATCTAGGCGGCGGGTGACAGTAGAGGCACGGTCACACTGACAAGGATAAGCCCGGTAGGGCGAACAGAAGGCTAAGAGACAGTGGTAACTAAAAGACTGATGAATCGATCATCTACCTATCTAGGTAGGTACCTTGTGGATACTTTGTCTTTGCATTCTCGGACCGCCCTGGATAAGTACCTCCTTCACGAAGTCCAGCCAACCATCTACCTGCCTAGGTAGGTATGCAGGTAGGTACCTAGGTACCTGGGGGACTTGCATGCTTCAGAGTTCCTACCGAAAGTCGACCAACCTACCCACCCTGTCTGTCTTCATGTCACTCACCCACCCATCTGCTAGGGAGCCCCCCCCCCAACTCACCACAGGGCAGCCGACACACCTTGAAGCTTGAAGCCAATCACGCAGTATTCCGATTACATAGTCCCGCCCTCGCTGAGGTCTATATGAATACCTGGAAACCTTTAGGAAAACAAAAATAAGACTATGATGGACCACTGGTGGAGGAGGTTTCTACTATATCGAGTATGGCCATCTGCCACATGAATTAGTTTCTCATCGCGTGGACAGGATTACTACGATGTTTTAAGCGAAGGGGTGACGTAGCTGGGGCAGATCCTTGGTGACAGAGTGCGGTTGGCAATAGTTTATTTCGCCAGTAAGGCCCCATTGTTCTGAGCCCAAGTCTTTTTACGCGTGTGCCCCGATGGATACTGACGTACGAGAGCTAACGCCCCCCCCCCCCCCCCTCCCACTCCATCTCACCTACAGGTATCTATACCACTGTATGTGTAATGTATATCAAATCACCGCATCCGAATCACCATGCAAAGTGCCTCCACTCATTCTCCATTCATCCATCGTTCCCCTCACTAACAGGTACGGCCCCAGCCCGGTACGGTACGGACAACGACGAGCCAAGACATACAGTCGCCCAGCGGATGCCACTTCGGCCCTCACTTCTTCGGTCCATCCACTCCAAATCCCGTTCGGTCGGAGCTATTTTTCAACCACCGCACCCGCGCCCGCGTCCCTGTATCCTCGCATCCCCCAGACTGTCGACCGATACGCATGTCTCCATCCTCTCCGTGTCTCTCTCTTTCTCTCTCTCTCTGTTCGTTCGTCTACCCCCCTTCCTTGGCATTCATACCATCCACCACAACTATAACTTAACGCCTTCCTCCTGCCACACCTGCCTCCCCTCTCCCTTCTTCTTCTTCTTCTTCTTTATCACCACCCCAAGCTCTTAGCTTGCACGTTCTCTCCCCCCCAACTCGCCCTTATAACCCACAACAGAACAAACCAGTGTTGGGCTTCATCACAGGCACCGACGCCACTCCCCCGACCTCACTAGAGCGCATTCTAGCAGTACCCTACCGATATCCGATGGGAGAACCCGAAGCCGTCAGGCGTGGTGAACACAGCACAACTGCCGCGGAAGTCAACCCCGAGCAGGACGAGCCGCCGTCTATACCGCGGCCCCCGCCCAATCCCAACACCGTCCTCCCTCACCGCCCTGCCCATAGTCTTCCCCTCGAAGAACTAGGTCTCTTTTGGCAGACCCATATTGAAAATGGCCTCTCAAAGGCCGATGCTTCTGCCCGTCTCCAACGGGACGGGCCTAATCGTATCGATGGCGCAAAGGGCCTATCCGTTTGGGAGATTGTCATGAGGCAAATCTCCAACAGTCTGACGCTTGTCCTCGTGATCGTCACTATTCTATCCTTTGCCATCCAAGATTACATTGAGGGAGGTGTCGTCACCGCCGTCATCGTTCTCAACATTGTTGTGGGGTGAGTTCTTCTGTTCTGTCCCTTTTTGAACCCTCGTGTCCACAGTGTCTTGCTTCGACCTCCCGTCTTCTCTGCTACTTCACCTCTCGGCCTCCAACCTGCCCTCCCTGTCCGAGCCACGTCGGTTCGCCTGCTTTGTTAAGCCGCTACGCTGTGTGGTTGGTCAGTCGATTCGCGTGGGTGGCACACTACGCCGCCGTCTGCCACTGGGTTGGGTGACCACTGACCGCCCTGGTGGCACCCCACCAAGCTCTCTTCTGCAAGGATCTTGGCCGGGCGTGGCGCGCCATCAAAATCCCAGACCCCTGTCATTGCGCCCATCTCAACTTGCCCACCCACGACGTTCCACACACTTTGTCGTTCGACAACACCATGAACAATAGCGATCAAGAACCATGACTGACATCACCCTCACAGCTTTATCCAGGACTACAATGCCGAACAGACCATTCAGTCTCTGTACGCGCTGTCCGCCCCGACATGCAAGGTCATCCGCGACGGTGTCGCAGAGACCATCGAGGCCCAGAGCCTCGTCAAGGGCGATCTAGTCATGATCGCTGTCGGCGACGTCGTTCCAGCCGACCTCCGACTTGTCGACGGAATTAACCTCTCCATCGACGAAGCCCTCCTTACCGGCGAGTCGCTCCCCATCAGCAAGCACCCCGAGGCCATACTCGAGGACGCCGACATCCCCCTCGGCGACCGCCTCAACATGGTTTATTCCGCTACTACCGTTACTCGAGGACGCGCTCGCGGCATTGTCACCACTACCGGCATGGAGACCGAGGTGGGCAAGATCGCAATGATGCTCCGCACCACCCGCAAGCGGGACGAGAACGCCTCTCTGACCTCCCGCGCCATCACGCGCGTCAAGGCTGCCGGGAAGAGCATACTGGGTCTCGAGGGTACCCCCCTGCAGGTCAAGCTTAGCAAGTTCGCTCTTCTGCTGTTCGGCCTGGCTATTCTCCTTGCCATCATTGTCTTCTCCGTCAGCAGGTTCAACATTGACGACCAGGTCCTTATTTACGGTATCTGCGTCGGGGTTGCCGTCATTCCCGAGTCCCTTATTGCCGTCCTGACCATTACCATGGCTGTGGGCACCAAAGCCATGGCCTCCGGTAATGTCATTGTTCGTAAGCTGTCCTCCCTCGAAGCCGTCGGTGGTGTCACCAACATCTGCTCCGACAAGACCGGCACCCTTACCCAAGGTCGAATGATCACCCGAAAGATTTGGCTGGCCGAAGATACGACCGCCATCGTCGAGGGTACCACCGACCCTTATGACCCTACCAGCGGCAAAGTGCGTTGGCCTGGTTCGGCCTCGTCGAGCTCAGCCTCGAGCGGAACGTCGACTCCGACAGCCGAGAAGACTGACGACACTATCCAATCGTCGTCATTTGTCGCCTTCCTCAAGGCTATTGCCCTTTGCAACAACGCTGCTGTTACCGACGGCAAGACGTCCGCCTCTACCGACACTGAGTCCATGACTACCGCTACTGAAGTGCCGGTTGCGTGGTCCGCCATTGGCGAGCCCACTGAGATCGCCCTCCAGGTCTTCGCCATGCGTTATGGAAAGGGGAAGAACGACCTCGTCTCGTCTGAAAAGACCAAGATGTTGTACGAGTTCCCTTTTGATTCGTCTTGCAAACTCATGAGTGTCGTCTACGAATTCCCTGGAGCACCCCGTCAGGTCTTTACCAAGGGCGCTGTTGAGGTTATGGTCCAGCGCTTGGCTGAGTCCGAAGCTACCAAGGCAAGGATCGTCGCCAAGGCTGACGAGCTCGCCTCCGAGGGCCTGAGAGTCCTTTGTGTTGCACAGAGATTCCTCGATGACACCGACGACGCGAGCGAGAGAAACGAGGCTGAGTGCAAGCTTCGCTTCTTGGGTCTTGCAGGCTTATATGATCCTCCCCGCGTCGAGACTATTGGCGCAGTCAAGCAGTGCAACACTGCTGGCATTTCCGTCCACATGGTTACTGGTGATCATATCAAGACTGCAACTGCTATCGCCCACGAAGTTGGTATCCTCCGTGGCGGCGAGCAGCCCACGGCTGTGATGGCCGCCGGCGTATTCGACGCCATGTCGGACGAGGAAGTCGATGCGCTCGAGGCCCTCCCTCTGGTCATTGCTCGATGCAGCCCTATGACCAAGGTCAGAATGCTGGAGGCCATGTATCGCCGTAATGCCTACTGCATTATGACTGGTGACGGCGTCAACGACTCGCCTGCCCTCAAGAAAGCCCACGTCGGTATCGCCATGGGCAAGAGAGGCAGTGACGTTTCCAAGGAGGCAGCGGACATGGTCCTCACCGATGACAACTTCTCATCCATCGTCACCGCCATTAGGGAGGGTCGTCGTTTGTTTGATAACATTCAGAAGGTATGTCATGCTTTTGCCTGTGTGCTTTGACGGGCCATGCTAACCAACATCTAGTTTTTGCTCCATCTCCTCATTTCCAACATCTCCCAGGTCATCCTTCTCCTTATCGGCCTTTCCTTCAAGGATAGAAGTGGTACCTCCATTTTCCCTTTGTCTCCGTTGGAGATCCTCTGGGTCAACCTAATCACTTCTTCGTTCCTCGCTATCGGTCTGGGACTTGAGGAGGCGCAACCTGACATCCTCCTCCGTCCACCCCATAGTCTTCGGATTGGCGTCTTTACCTTCGACCTGATCCGGGACAAGATGATTTACGGCTTCTTCATGGGCTCGCTATGTTTGGCTGCGTTCACGTCCGTCGCGTACGGTCCTGGCGCTGGCGACCTCGGTAGCCACTGCAACGACGGATGGAATGAATCTTGTGGCGTTGTCTTCAGGGCTCGCTCCACCGTCTACGCCACCCTTAGCTTCTTGCTCTTGGTCACTGCCTGGGAGGTCAAGCACTTCCAGCGCAGTCTGTTCAACATGAACCCCGAGTTGTGGACCGGCCCCACCGCTGTCTTCAAGACCATCTTCAAGAACCGCTTCCTCTTTTGGGCTGTCACCGGTGGCTTCGTCATGACCTTCCCTGTCATCTACCTTCCCGTGGTCAACCGCGCCGTCTTCAAACACGACATGATTTCTTGGGAGTGGGGTATCGTCATCGCCTGCCTGGTTGTCTATATTGCTCTCATCGAGTGTTGGAAGGCCGTGAAGCGTCACTTGGGGCTTGGACTTATGGCACGCATTCCCAACGAACAGGTCTAATCCTGAACATCAGAATGAGACAGACGTTTTTGCTATAATGCACATGCTTCTGTGCGGGCTGGAGGGAAAAGAAGGAGGGTACAGGGAGTCTTCTCAATAGCGCTCCGGTGCCAATTATTTGGGAATCATGTCCGGACCCAACATGGAAATTAGATAGATTGGGGCTATTCAACATCAGCCTGGCAGGCTCTCGGGCTTTGGTGGTAGTTACGTTCACTACACTCGTTTAGAACCCTTTTTATATCCATTAGGCTTAGGCTGTTGAGTATTTGCTCCAGCCACGGTAGCAATTAATCGAGTTCCCCTCGCCGAGTTCGATCCACCCTCATGATTCTCCTTCCTCCTTCGTGACGTTCCACGTTTGTGCCCTAGTTGCCTTGTACAACCTCTTGTGTCTTCCTCTCGTTCCTTTCCCGCTCAACCTGTTTCTTGTACTCAACCCAATCATCACTCCGTGGAAAGGGAAACTCGGGCACCGCAACGCCCAGGATCTCACACAGAGGCCCCCACCCGTCGCCGGGATGATACTCCAGGAACCTCCTCCCGCCCGCCTTGAGAGCGCGCACCTCCTCATGGTGCCTCTCGAAATATGCCCTCCCATTCTTTTCAAAGTCGTCATCCCAGCACGCGGCGTGGTAGGCGTTGGCCAGCACCTCCATGGGCGATCTCCTCTCCGGGTCGCGATGGCGGTGCGCGTGGATAAGGGTGTCTCTCATCGAGGCGTCCCAGGCCTCGAAGGGGCGGGTCGTGTGGATGATGAGGCAGTCGGGGTAGGCCTCGGCGAGGGCGGTGGGGAAGAGGGCGGGGGGGAAGTCGGAGACGGCGGCGAAGCCGGACAGGAGGGCGTCCCACTGCGGGCGGGACCAGGGACGCGGGGGAGATGTTTGGGGGAGGTTATCGGCGATGGCGGAGATCCAGAGATCCTGGTGGGCGTTCTTGGAGACCTCCCGCATGTGGTAGACTGGTGAGATGGCAAGGTGGGCCAGGGCGTCGGCGAGGGCTGGGGAAGAATGAGTATCGCATCTTGGAAACGAGAAACCCATAATTTGAGTTTGTGGGATGCATACACTGAGTTCCTGTTCGGGGAAGCCCGAGAACAAGGACTTTCATATCGGGCATGGCGGGCGATGTTCGATGGCCTGCGAGCAGGTGTTTGCTTGCGGATGAGCCTGGCGCGTCAAAACGACTGTGGTGGTGATGGGGGGTTCCGGATTCCAATATAAACACATTGAACGGACCGGAAGTAAGCACGACTCCGGTTTCTACCGTCCGACTTGTCCCGCACCTGGGCGTCACGGGACGTGCTGTATTAGGCAGCTGCCTTGAAGCTCCTTGCCCTGGCATGATGACCTCTCCTGGCAGCCAACGCAGCATATATACACCGGGCGAGACCCAAGCCTCCATTTCACAGATGGGCACTAGTGCATCTTACACTCAAGTATGACCTATAAGACCTCGCTGCGATACAGGATCCAGCGCGGTGAGGCTGTTCGATGGTCGGGTGTCTCGTTTTGGGGCAATATAGGGGTTTCGATTTTCTATATGTGTATGGTTTCGACGTCCAACGCGTGCAAGTACATGATGAGGTGCGTTGCAAGTGGCTCTACTAGGAATAGCTTTGGGCTGTATTATTTTGCGGTCTTGAAATTTTGCCGAGTTTTATTTAAACGTTGAAGATACTTTTGTAAAGCTCATAAACCTTGTGTTGTTTCTTGCTTCAAAACTGATTCCATGTGAGTAGGCCTCGACGGCCCCAAGTTGACGAGCCTCAGGTTGGTGACTCTGTTCGAGACTTCAAGACCCGCGTGCTAGCCTCCAAGGTTCATCGATGTGTCAGGTCTTGTCACATAAGATTGTTAGTTGCGCCCTCATCTTGTAATGATTTCGAAAGTCAGACAAAATCGTCAGTGGTTGGCTTTTGTCCCTGTTGGTTTAATCACTGTGAAGGGATATCCTAATATCACGTAACAGATCGTGATTTAGAATAGTTGCTTGTTATATATTAGTTAGTTATAAAGTAAATCTAGACTTTTAGGTGGTATACTAGTAGTAAGGTAGATACTACTAAGGGAGGCAGTATATTACGTAAATATTACGTAACTACCTCCCCTAAAGCATACCTACTATATACTAACACTAGTAACTTTTTCTTTTATAGTAAAAGTTACTAGTGCCCTAGCTATCTAGATTACCCTTAAAAGCCCTAAAAACGTAATAAAAATTAAAACTCTAAAAGTATTACACTTCTTATAGTTATATACTATATATTTCTATATCCTTTATTTTTCCTTATAAATAGTATAGGCTTATACTAACTTATTTAGAGGTATTTCTCCTTAGCTATAGCTATTAAAGGTATATTCTTATATTAGTTAGATTTAACTACTACTATTATAGTCTAATTAGTTATATAACTTATAATTTATTTTTTACTATATACTTATTATAATTTATTATACTTATATAACCTAACTTTTTATATATATCTTAGCTTTATTATTTATAACTAAGCCCTTAAGTGCTTAATTTAGAGATACTTTTATAAATCTATTAGCTAGATTATTAGATCTAGTAATTTATTAGACTTTATAAAGCTTATATTACTTATAAGACTATCTTAATAATATAATATTAATTATAAAATACTTTTTCCTTATAGTTCTTAGCTTAACTAGGTATTTATAAAGTAAATATAAGTCTATATATATAATAGTTAGGATTAATAAGATATTAAGCTTTTTTATAACTATTATAATAGTTATAAAGAGGGCGTAAGCTATATTAATACCTATAACTATCTTATATACTTTAGATATAAAGACGCTTTAGGTAACTTATTTAGACTTTATAGATAAGAAATAAAGAATATTACTATAAAAAGAAAACTTAGTTTAGTTATTATTAACTTTTTTATTTATAAAAAAGATAATAAATCCTAACTATAAAGTTATATTATAATTATTAGTAAATAATCTATTTATAAATATAAATAGCTTAGCTAATATAAGATCTAAAGAAATAAATTATAAACTATAGTTAAGTAAGCTTATTTATTATTATAGTTAATAGTTAAGGTCTTTAATTACCTTATTATCTAGCTTTTTATATTAGGCTATAATAAAAAGATTATAGTACGCTTTAGGCTAGTAAATAGAGGTAATATATACTCCTTATGCCTATTACTAAATAAAATCTTAGTAGGCTATAAGTAACTTTATATTAATTAATTATAGCTTTACTTCTTACCTTTTTTAGTAAAGTATAATAAAAGTGTTTATAGTAAATATAACTATAATAATTTTATTATTAAAGGTAAGTAGTTAGTTAATAGTAAGAAATAACTTATCCTTTATAGTAAATTTTACTTTAGTTAGTTCTTTATTCTCTTAGTTAGAAAATAAAAAGTCTATTAGGCTAATAGTATTATTTATTTATATACTAATAAGTATAAAGTGTAGATTTTTACTAAATAATAGAAGAAAGTAAGGGTTATATATAATAAAGACTATCTAGAGATTTTTTTTATAGTAATAGTTATAAGTAGCCTACTAGTATATACCTACCTTAGTAATCTTATATAGAGGCTTAATAACCTTTATAATAGTATTATTAGGGTACTTATAATAGATTTAGGCTAGAAGTTTAGTATAAATAGTATAGTTAAAGTAGGAAGTAGATTAAATATAGGCTTATATAATATTATATAGCTATATAACTTTACTATTAATAAGAAAGGAAAAGGCTAGTATAAAGATAAGCTACTAGCTAGCTTACTAGATAGTAAGTAACTAAGTAAAAATAGCCTCCTTACTATTATTAGTATAGCCTTAAATAATAAGGCGTAATTTCTTATAAGGCTTTTTATTAGTGCCTTTTACTTTATTTATAATCTATAATTTAAAAATTTACTTATATAGCTAAAGTTAGTTAATTATAGTAAATTTAAAGACGCCTTATATAATAAGGCTGTTAATCTTAGTAGCTACTAATTACTTAAATAGCTTACTAGGTGCTATAATAACGCCTTTTTTATATAGTTAGATTATAAAGGTTTAATAAGCTTTTTTTTTTACTAAAAGGAAGGTAGTATAAGGTATATTAGTCTCTTATAGTAAAGTGTATTTTATAAGGATTTTTCTAGCTTATTAAGGTTATATAATAATAGGATTATTAGCCTATAGCTACTACCTTAAACTAGTTATAATAATAATAGTATCTTTAGTAGGCTTATTACTATAATTACTATTATTATTTAAGATAAATAGAAGACGTTACTTAGCTAAGCCTTTTTCTTTATTATTTACTATATAGTATAACTTAACTAATATAGATTAGAAAATATAAAGGCTATTAATATTAATAGTAAAGTCTTTACTTTAAGTAGTAAGTAACTTATATAGGCTAGACTAACCTCTTTTTTTACACTAGATATAGACGTTACTACCTAAAGGCAGATCCTTTATTATAAAGGTATTTAGGCTATTATAGGTAGTAAGAGCCTTATTAATTTACTATATTACGTTATATTTATAAAGATCTTTAGTTACCTTATAGATAGCTATTACACGTTAGATTATCTTAAGTAAAGAAGTAAAGTTAGTAGTTATATAGAGGTAGGCACTAAATACTAGTAAGGTAGGTATAAGGCTATTTAGGCTAGTAGTATTATTAATTACTTTAGCTACACTTTAAAGTGTAAATTTATAGTTAATAGATAAGTACTCTCTATAGATTATCTTATATATTTATTAAAGTATAGTATAGTATCTCTTAACCCTCTTAACGCTATAATAGGCTTTAATAGGTATAATCTTAACCTTAACGCCTATTATATAGGCTTTATATAAAAATTTAGTTAAAATAAAGTTCTATTTTATATTAGTAATAATTAATTTAAAGGCCCTTAGTAGATATTAATTTAGTAGTAATAAAGTGCCTCTTATATAGTTTTTACTAAAATATTATAAAGAAAGTAGGCTATATTAAAGGTAGTAGTAGTATTAACTATATAAAGTATAAAGTTACTATTAAGGTATATTATATTAATAATAATTTTATAATTAAAGGAGTAGTTATTATATAAAGTAAATTAAAAACAAGAAGGTGCCTTACTATAGATTTAGTAGTAATAGTAGTACTTTATTAAGTGTTTAATTACCTTTATTCTAACCTTATAGCTAGCCTTATAAAGGATTTTATATAGCTAGTAAATTAATAAATAGCTAAACTATTAATAAAGGTAGTATAGCTTAACGTTAGTTAGGTAATAACTTATAAGGCTTTACTTAAGTAGGCTAAGTAGTATCTATAGGTAGCTTTATTTTTATTTAACTAGCACTAGAAGTTTACCTTATTAAAGAGTATTTATAAGGTTATTAAATTAAATTAATAGCTAATTTATATTAGCTAAGTAAAGTAAGAAAAGTATATTAGTAGGTATTATATAAAAGGTAATATACCTAAAAGGAGTTTTTACTATAATAGTACCTTATAAAGTAATAGTATTACTATTACTAAATCTAATCTTTACTTTACCTATAGCTATAGTATTAATAGTTATAGATAGTTAAATTTACTATAGTATAATAGCTTATAAGTAGCCTATAGTTAAATAACTTACTATACTTATATCTAGTAAAATACCTTAAAAGGTAGCTAATAAGTAATAATTTAGTATAAAGGTACTAAGTAACTTAGTAGAGGTACTATTAAGGTTAATTTTTATTAATTAGTAATAAATAGCTTAGTTAGTAAGGTTTATAGTAAGTGCCTTACTATCTACCTTAGAGCTTCTAAAGAATATAGTAGTAGTATAAAATACACTATTATCTTATTTTTTATTACTACTAATAATAAAGTAGGCCCCTTAAAGATACTACTAAAGATCCTTATTATTATTACTATCTTTATTTTCTCCTTCTTATAGATAGGTGCCTTTATAGCTAGTAAGGAAGGTGTTATATATAGTTAGTAAAGTATCTTTAATATAATAGTTACCTTTAAATTACTAGTACGCTTTACGTCTTTTATTAGTAGTATACTTTATTAACTAGTAACTAGGCTTATAGTAAATATAGCACTTTTTAGTATTATAGCTACTATTATTATTATTACTATTA